GGCTTTGTTAAAGAGATTAACTGTCCACTCTATGCCAGAATTAAGGAGATTTTCCATTATTTTTATTCAATCTGAGCTATTGTCAGGCTATCCTCATTAACATTAAACTGTTTTTTAAGTTGCATTGTCAAATTGTCCCCGAAAATAGTCCAATCACTAAGTTTAGTAATATAAATACTTTTATTAAGTTTATGCTGTGAATTGGTATGTAGGATAGTGTTAAAGGAAATTTCGAAATAAATTGTGTTGTGGTCTGAGAAATTAGTATCATTTAGAATTTTCCAGTTATTTATGATTTTTATGAATGGTAAGTTCAATGTTACTTTTACTCTATCTACTAAAAGTGGTCAACCAAGATCATTTATTAATCAGAGCTAGGTTTTGGGAAATTATAAATGATTCCAACATTCGGCCCTTTGGAGTTATTTTAATGTTATTCCTTAAGAATGATCTGGAATTGGAGTATATGCCGAAGATTATGTAATTATTGTTTTATTGTCGTATATTTGGTCAATTTTGTTAATGTCCTATTTATACCAACCTATATTAGGCCATAGGCTATATTAGGTAGTAAAAAAAGTGTTGTTTGTATGTAATGTGGTCAATAGTCAGTTTTTTCAAAGAGTATGTTTATTTCTCTTGTGAACATGGCGCACTTTCTGTCGAACGCGGAGTGATTTGTATCTATTTTTCTATGTTTATGTCAAACGTGATGATCGAAAATTGAACATTTGGGGCTGTTGTTCTGTTCTTCGGTGCAATCAGTTGAGCTTCAGTGCAGCCGATGGATGATGGTCGGAGTACTTGGGGCAGGTGACATCACAGGCGGATTTACCGGAGGGAGAGGGGGGCTTTCGGGCTGAAGCGCCCCTCTCCGTGCCTCCCAAAATGGTTAAATATAACCATGTTTTATAGAAAAAATATTAAAAACTATCTCTTAAAGTATTATTGTTCGTTTAAAATCATTTAATAGGACTACAAGAATCACTTAAACACCATGTAATATAGGAAGTTAGTTTCTTTCTTTTTTTTTCCAATTAATTATTGCTTATCCTCTTACTTATTCTCTTTCTTATCAAGCTTCTCAGTTTCTCTCCTCCTTCCTTTCATCCCTTTTCTCTGTTTTAACTCTTTATTATTTCATACTTTGTATGTACATATTGATAGACTTTACTACATCTCAATTTTCTATCTAAATATTCTATTCACTATATCTTAATTTTAATATTTATTTCCATTTCTTATATAACTTCATTTTTTTCTGTTTTACATTTTATTCTAAGATTCCCTTTACAATAGTTATGTCACCTTTTTTGACTACAATGTTTACTACTATGTTTACTTCATCATTCCACACTTTGTACCTATTATTATTATTTGTCTCTTGTTCTTACTATTGTCATTATTCTAACAACTTCATTTTACTGTAATTTTTATATTTCTCATACCTTGTTATCTGGTTCTTTTCTTAGCCCTGATGATGGCCTGAACTTCAGATCGAAACGTCGGCATATGTAAAAATAAATATTATCATTTATTTTTGCCTTCTTTTTTGACTGACCACCCCAACTATTCTTCTCTTCATTATCCACGACAGTCAACCATTTACCAATTATGAAAAAAAAAAAGCTTTCGAGCTGAAGCTCCCCCCAAAAATTAAATCCTGGATCCGCTAGTGCGTGACAGTTCCGCCGCATTGCTCCTTGGAGTGATGAAATTTACAGCATTTGGTGCTCTGCCTGATCCTCAGGTAATGTTCTGGTCAAAGTTTAGTGTAGCCTAAGTAGATTCTGTTAAAGACAAGTTTGAACCTGGTCGTGGCGTGTGATTCTATGACCGCGTGGGTCCTGTTGTTCCATTTATTCTTTAAAAATATTACTGGTCGTACAGCTTCGGGTTTAATTCTTAGAGCTATATTCTGGTTCACAAGGTGGTCGACAATGTTTTCTATCTTGATGTCTTCATCTACATCGCGTATGATAACTCTTATTTTTTCCCTTGTGGCTCGGGTAGCAACCAAATCTTTATTCTTTTCTATTTTTTTTTAAATTATTTTTCTTTCTGTTTCGATATTGGTTTCTACCATAACGGTTTCTTTTTGGCCGTTATTTTATTTATGCCGATTTTTAGGTTTTTCAGTTTTATAATCGTCTTGAAATCGTTTTTTTATAACTACGCTGTCTTTAGTTTTTCTGCTTTTAAGAATTATGTTGTATGATCCAGAGTTGTTTTTTCGTTTTGAAGTAGGTAAAGTAATTTGAGAAAAAGAAGGTTGCGTATTAGGAAAGTTTTGATTACTCAAGTGTTCTGTTTGTAGTTTGCGTGTTTTGAAAATATTCTCGTATCTCTTCTATTATATTACATAATTTAGTTTTTAATTCTGTTTCAAGAATTTTAAAATTCGCTGCCTCAAGTAACACGCTTAGGACATGATCCAGTCGAAATTCGGTTTGAAGATTTGCATGTCGACCGGTTTGAAGATTACCGAAATCTAATTTTATATATATCGGAAGTAATCAAGAGGATATTGAGAGACTCACTCGAATTCTGTTAAAAAAACCATAGTAAATCGGACTACAAGTCAATGTAGATAAAACAAATACATGCTAGTTAGCCGAAACATCCACCCTAATAACATGATCTGCATGGACTCTAAGTCATTCCCGAAAGTAGACAGATACCTCAAATACCTCGGCTCCGCAATAACCTCAATAAATGATCAACTAACAGAGATAGACCAGCGAATAACAAGTGCGAACATACCTTTCTTCTCTCTTTCAAGGGTACTGAATTCCAGAAAAATCTCCAGAAATCTAAAAATAAGGGTGTACAACGTCGTGATTCAGCCATCACATAAGTGAGCTATGTCTGGTTTGTGAATTAAAATCCTTTTTATATTATTTCTTCTGTTTAAAGATATTGCTTTTTCCTCACAACTGATTAGAAATTTAAAAGAAACTACTACCTCCTTTTCCGCACTTTCATTATTCACATTTCATGTATCGAGAATATTTAATCAGTATTCCAATTAATAGTTAATCTCAACGATATTGAGATAAAAAACCAACTGGGAAAAATATTCTTAACACTATTTTAGTCCTGCTTCTCCATTCTTTGACAAGGAAATAAAATATCCTCGCTAAAATCTATAATTTTATTCCGTAAAGTTGATATGATTAGAACTTAAAATCTGAAAATATAATATTATTTATTTTTTTATTATAAGGTACTATACTTATTCATGAGTATGAAATGCTGGAGCAGGAGTTTACTCGAGAGAGTTTCAGTTCAGTGCTGCGGTGGGTGAAGATGGTACGAATTTTGACGGTGAGATAGCAGCGATCCTCATAGCCCTAAGAATACTATCAGGAAGGCAAATTCAGAACGCTGTTCTCTTTGTCGACTCGCAAGCAGTAATCCTCGCCATTACTGAAGTGAATAAATGTATGTCGAATGGTAACTTGGAATGTAAATCCCTTCTTTACGATCTAACACTCCGAGGCACCAATGTGGTCCTTCAGTGGATTCCGAGCCATTGCGGTATTCCAGGAAATGAGGAAGCGGATAGCCTCGCCAGGAGGGGAGCAGAATTGCCACAAACAGTATATCCAAAATCCTACGATTCAATTCGGCGAATGGTGAGAATGATAGTGAAGGAGGAAACAAAAAATATGCATAAAGACTAGGTGGAAGAGAAACGTTATGGATGTTTGATGGAAAACCCGATCCCAGCAGACCTACCAAGAAGAGATGCAGTAGCCTGCTTCCGCCTGGCCACTGGTCACGACTATCTTCAAAGTCATCTCCACAAGATAGGCCTGGCTGAGGATCCTAGATGTAAATTATGTGAACAAGCGGAAATGAATGCAGACCACCTAGACAAATGTCCTGCTTTGACGGATATAAAGAATCAAACATATGTAAATGATTACATACAAAAATCAAAATTATATTGGGCAGCAAGATGTCGGATGGTCGAATGACCAATGACTATGGCATAGGAAAAAAAAAAACAAAAAAAAACTTATTCATGAGTTGATATATTAGTATTTTATAATTTGTTATGGTGTCAATCAGTGTCGGCCTTTGATATTTAGAGCCTTCGGGCTATGACGTCAACAGCCCTCCTCCCCTAAAAAAATTAAATTTATTTCTCAAGCTGTTTAATATTATGTAATATTTGAATTTTATTTCATTTAATATCTCTAATATAATTGCTTTATTAATAGGATAAAATTAATTATTTTAATATGTTTTATATATATATATATTTCCAATTATTAACAAGTGGTGAGTGCCCCTGATGATCTTTGCCCTCCATGGGCACCCCGAGGCATTTGCCCCGGTTGCCCGGCCCTAAGGCCAACACTGGTATCAATTACTGGTCTTAACAAATAATTAATGAAACAGAATTTACTCAGATTAAATTTACTTTTATGAAATACTTTCGGCAATCTGATAATGAATAATGATTTGAGGTTTAAAATAGCTAGTAGAATTTTATAAAATTGATACTCGATCATTTTTTCACTAATTTCTAACTTTCCTCCAGCTTTGAGCCTAATCAAAGGAGCCATTTTTGATTTATTGCCACATTATACGTTTGCTCATCCGGAAGCAGAAGTGGGGGATGTATTGCGATGAAATTGTTATAGGGTCATGTAATCCCCACAATCCCTGAAAATTTCATCAAAATCGAATTCACGAAGGTGATATGCCTATCATATGGATTTGGCTACAGACAGGCATGGGTCCAAATTTGTTCTTTAATCTCTAAAACGAAATCTCTAATACAAATTTTCGATTACCTTAAGTTGTGAGGAAACGCGAAAAATTAACAACATATTCGTTGTAAATTTGTTTGTTTTAATTTATTTATCATAAATTTAATGTTATTCCTTTCGATAGCCCGCATAATCGATTATTTAAAATCTCGATTCTTGTATTCGGCTTACATCGATTTTATCGAGCAACTGGTTTGGAATCATTCAGTTTCCTTTTGAAAGTTGCGTAGCAGAGATGCCCATACTTCGCTAGATCGCTAAGTAAATATTTCAGGATTGCATACGTTCGTTTTGATCACCTGTTCAAGATGCACCACCATTTAAGGTTATTTATTTTATTTTTAATAATCATAATATACTCTTATGGTATTATAAACTTACAAAATTTATGAATAATAATATATAAATTGTTATTTTATGTTAATAATAATAGTATATTATAAACTTATGAACCATTGACAGTTGTGAGTTAAACAGTTATCTGCACTACGATACTTTTCAGAAAATTAATCATGTAGCCGATAAGTTATTTGCTTATATATGTTATTAAATATTAAACTTATTTAATATGCATACTTATCAAAATATTATTTTCTTACTTAAATATGTCGATCAGGTACGAGTTCCGTGTAATATCAAAACTTTTATTTAGAAATAATTATGTTAATAAAAATTACTCAAGATCTGTAGATTTCATCCTAAATGCCCTAATATTTAAAATACATTTCCTCTTTTATTTTATACTTTCATACTGCCATATTAATTCACTATGTAATGTTTTAATTTTTAATTATTTTTGTATGCTGTCACATCTCTTGCTGTTCCATAAAAGGATTATTGTATGCTATATCCGGTGTCTCCACTTTTTCGCTGCCTTATGTTCCCACCATGGGACAAACAATCTTCCTACATACTTGTATTAGATTACTTAACCATTTCCATCTCTAATAGATTATAAATTTCATTAAAATAGTATTTTAATTAGTATGTTTATTGGAAATACTAAAGTATCAATTATTTCAGCGAAAGTCCGGCACAACTTACATAAGCCTTGCGATTGAAACCAGTTTCTGTTAAGAAACTGTTTTGTTCTGACAAAAACTGATATCTTACCATCTGCAATAATACTGATAAATGATCGAATAAAAATAAATCAGTGTAATGGTTTTTAATAAATGACGGTACTAGTGATTTCATATCAGTGGGCATGTGGTCAGAATTGAAGGACAATCGAATTTTCCTTTCTGTTAAATGCTCACTTGTGTTTAATTATTGCATTTTCATTATACAGTTTTGTAAAGCTTTTTTTTTATTTATTTCGTTCAATATATAGTCAAAATATGACTGATTTGAATTAAACTGGAATAAAGAAATAGATTGACCTTCGTTTCTAGCCACGTGCCCACTGATAGGAAATTGCTTATGATTTTTATTTATTTGACAATTTTGAGTATTTCTTAAAGTCTGGATGCCTTGCTATCTTTTTATAATAGACTTACAATCTAGTTACTAATATCACCTAATATACTAATTAATACTATTTTAATATGTTTCATATATATATATATATATATATATATATACATATATATATATATATGTATATTAAATGTATCATAAATAAATCTTCCCCAGAAAAACAATAATCTATTAATATAAGCAAGAATTATTAGTCACGAATCATGAAAAAGAGTAAGTTCATATCAACAGCAGATGCACTAGCGAATCCAGGATTTATTTTTTTTTGGGGGGGGAGGGCTTCAGCCCGAAAGATATTTTTTTTTCAAATATATAACGATTTATAATTGGTAATTGGTTGACTGTCGTGGATAAAGAAGAGAAGAATAGTTGGGGTGGTCAGTCAAAAAGGAAGGCAAAAAATAAATGATAATATTTATTTTTTACTTTTTAAAATACTTTTATAATTTTACTTTTTGTAATTTAAATTTAATTTAATTTAATTTAAATTTAAATTTAATTGTAATTTAAATAATTTTACTTTTTGTAAAAAATAAATATTATCATTTATTTTTTGCCTTCCTTTTTGACTGACTACCCCAACTATTCTTCTCTTCATATAACGATTTAATTTTTTTTTTTTTAAATAAAGAAATTGACTACCTATATGAAACAGTGTTTAAGTGATTCTTGAAGTCCTATGAAATGTAATTACACGAGCAATAATACTTTGAGAGATAGTTTTTAGCATTTTTTTTTCTATAAAATATGGTTATCCCCTCCCCGTATATCCCCGTATATCCGCCTGTGAGCAGATGGAATTGAATACCATTGCCATTGAAAAAACAAACCGAATTTGTCCATTATTAGTCTGATTAGAAGGCGGATTATATTTGGTATTTGAAACGTTGTTTATTCTAGGCTATGCCACTATTATCCACTTATCTCTACCGGAAGATCCTTGTGATATCTCAAGTAAAGATTAAACATAAATCCTAAGGAACAGGTGTTAAAAAAACCATGATTAAAACTCATTTATTTAGATATAAATATTTTTGTATCATTTTAAATCAATTACAATAATACATTTATTATTGATTTTGGATTTACACGCTTAAAATTTCAATTTAACTGAACGGGCAGGGGTGGAAACCAGTGTTGTAGGTGAAATTTTAACTTTTATTTTTAATCGGTTTTGGTAAGACTCTAATATTTATTTGCAATTTTGTTCCTGTTATTTCGGAAATAGACGTTTTGCCTTGCAACTTTTCAAATAAAGATTTTAATTAAAACAATATTTTATTTTTAAAATTTCGTGTTGATTTCTCCAAAAAGTCGATCTAAAAAATGATTATCTATTCAAGCACTTGGCCCAATTACTGTTTATTTCTCATTTCAAGTTACTTTTTCTAAGAACTTAATTAAATAAAAGTTTACCATAAATCTAGTACTTTATTACAAAAAAGTACCTTAGAATTTTCATTAAAATACTGTTTTCCTAAAATGTTTGACAGAGAATTTTAAAAAAAAAGTTCCATAAATGTTTCAATACCTGATATAAACCTATTAGAAATGTGTAGGAAAAAAGATGATAACAAGTAACAAAAGATAAGAAAATAATGGAGATACAGGATTAAAATGAGTTATAGAAAAAATGTCAGTTGGCACGGTTGTTGGCAGAGACGATAATATATCAGAACAAATTAAGGTTAGAGATATAAGTTTACTGAGAAGTCTACAAGGTCTTTTACCAGAATATTTTTTTCTGCTTTGGCTCTACCTAAGCATTGTGAGTGCAGTATCAACGTAGCGATCCATAAGAAAGGAACCTCAGGCTACATTTACACACCGTGTTACCTGAGGGCAACTCTCTACGATATTTTCATAATAGTTGGCTCAAACGAAAAGCTAAAACAAGCTGATATTAAAGATATGGCACTAAATGGAAGGTGATGCACATTGGTCTTGAAGAAGAAGCAACAATACTTTGCTAAGGACGTCAGTTATGATACCTCCAGTCTAGTGGCGTCTATTCGAATCCGGCGGGTTGAAATTTTTTTCTTGGCGGACTCAAGGAATGAATCTCGACCTTCTCACTGGGGCTAGAATAGTCATGAATAGAATAGTTACCTCAATGATAACTCCTTTCTAACCCAAATATGGCAGCGGAGGAAGAACAAAAAACTAGAGATCACTACTAACAGGAATTATTAAAAATATCAAATAAATACACATAAGGAAACAATGTTCAGCAGAAATGGGAAAGATGACCTAGAGCTTTTCAATGGACTAAAAGGCTAATTAAGACCATAAAGGCTTAAACGTGACCGATAACCACGGGCGGATCTACGGGGGAGAGCTTTCGGGCTGAAGCCCCTCCCAAAATGGTAAAATATAACTATGTTTTATGGGAAAATATATTAATAAATTATCTCTTAAAGTATTATTATTGGTGTAATTACATTTCAAAGGGCTTAAGGAATCACTTAAACACCATTTCATATAGATAGCTAGTTTCTTTCTTTTTTTCCAAGGTAATTATCGCCATTTTTATGAAAAAAAAAGCTTTCGGGCTGAAACCCCCCCAAAATTGAATCCTGGATCCGCTAGTGCCGATAACAGTGATAAATGGAGAGAGATGAATTGTTGCTGATGCATAAAACAATCTTTTAGTTTCAACGTAGAAACAAGAGAAGAGAAGTTTTTTATTTGACCATATTTTTTTAGATTTTCAGAAAAAAAATATATTGTTAAATATTTATTTGTTTGATTTCTTAACAAGCTACTGTATTAATTTTTAGTAAGTTACGGTCTTATTTCCGTTATTTTTACGCCGCAGCAATCGTTTGTCTAATTTTTCGATATTATATCAACGTTTTAATAAGAATATTATAAAATATAAAATAGCTGAAATTACTTTTGTCCTGTATTGAAAAATATTGTTTCTATTTGTTTATTAACGTAACATTGAAAAAAAAAAGTTTGAAATAAACATGTCTATGTCAGTCACTTTGGCTGACATGGGTTCGTAAGGGATTTGATTATTCTTTGTGCGAGCGGAAGTCGGAAGTTATAATCCAACAGTAATAATTCAAATGCTCGTATATAATTCCAATAAGTAAGATAATCTTTTCAGATTAACATTTCTCAGCCACACACATTGAGCTGCCATGAATTAACTGTATTTGTTTACGATTAACATCAATCCTTTTTTTTTTCCGTTTATATGAAACTTTTATGAGAAAAGATGGTCTTTTTTTTTCATCCAAAATTCCTATCACAATTGATGGAAACAACTGAAACATTGAAAATATATTTCTGTATCCCTTTCCATTACAATATGTTTAGTAAAATAGGGAAGAATTTTGTAAAATTCAAGGGAGTGTTAAAATTGGGCATGGTACACTGTCAACCAGATTTATCTGAAATAGAATCAATTCGAACAATATTCTTGAGGTTAAAATGTTGCCCATGTGAAGAACATAGCTTCGCCTAGCGGTTTTTCCCGCACAGTCAAAAGAGGAATAGTTGCTCAGTCTTTCCTCCACATTAAATGAGCGAACTTCATTCGTGCCTCATTTGTTTCATAAAAAGGTAACAACCATTCGTAAATTTTCTTTAATTACTTAATTAATTTATTAAAACGATACTACAGTGTTAACATACTACATAATTGATTCAAGTCTTTCAAATAGAATTAAAGTAAGTGACTAAAAAAAGTCTAGCTGATTCAGTAACCTTGTTAACGGTAATAGAGCACATAAATTCAAACTAGATACAGCATAGCCCAGTCTAAAATTGACTAACAAAATAAAGATTCCACAATCAAAGACCTTGTATACTGGAGGAAAAGAGAGGTTACCATAGCTGGTGAAAGTTTGCTTTACAGCTGATCAGTGTTATCAGTACAGCTATAAATAGACAACTTTATGTTAACTAAAACATGCAAAATCGCAATAGATCAGTAATTATGTGTTAAAGAAAAAAATATTTGTTCATTTTCTTTTACATAGTAAGCCTGTACAAGAGTTTATTTGCAAGCTTTCATATAAGAAATAAAAATTACATTATACTTATGTATGTAATGTTCAGTTTAAATTTTTAGTTATGCTATTGATTTATACAATGTGACAATTAAAACATCATATCATTAATAAACAAAACAAAAACTAAAAATTAACACAAACAAAATCTAGCTTGAAATTAAAATAACATTTTTTAAATATGTATAATAGTTTATTATGTAAATGATTTTCAATGAATATGTTTATTAGAGGACATTAGGAGTTAAATAAAAAGAGAGAAATAACAAAAGTAGACTAGAATGATAATTATAAAAGTTATTTAATCCTTTGAAATTGCTTATAAAACAGTACTTAAGAGTTATAAAAGATATTGTGTACAAATAATTATTCTTCTAAATTAAAATCAATGAATTTAAAATTTCAAAGAAATTTTATTCAAATAAATATTCAACTATACAAAATAAAAGAATGGATATATTTATCTACATATAGACACTTTTATGTAAAAAAATAAATTAATGGATATTATTAAAGAAATTATGTGCAATTTAAAATAATATTACTATAAATAAATATATTAAAGCAAAATATACAAGATAAATACTAATAAAAATAAAAATTTAATTAACAATAGTAACTTCGGTAAGTTAGTTAATTTAGGTTTGTATCTAAATGATTTCTTTGAAGATTGAAGATTTATCTTGGAGATGAAGCTTATCATCTTTTTATATATTTTTTTCCTCTGAAAGGTACAATGTTTGGCCTTACATTAAACAGATTTCACATATATATAATGGCATTTATCTTTTTTTTTTCTTGTACTAATTAATTTTGATCTGTTTTAAGCTCAGGTGCAACAGCACGTCATGATCTTTCCAATTTTTTTTTAGATCTTGTATCCTGTTAGATCTCTAACAACCCACTTCTTAATGCATTAGTTTTCTTATAAAGATTAGTCAATTTTAATCAAACTTTGTGCATTGAGTAGTTTGATTATAATTCACTTGAGAATATATTTAATTAATTCAGTTTCAAAAGCTGAATAAACCCTCGTGCTCATAAAAGGCTATATCCTCACTTCCTAGCTTCATACTCTGTAGATAATCACTGAGTCAAGGGGTAAGGCCTCTAAATCTTTGGTTACTTGGCAATGCCTTCTATTTAATATTCCAAATTAAGCCAAATTTAACAAAACTGAACAATGCAATTATTTATCCACAATGTATAAAGTTAAATTATTATAATCTGTCATTAACCAAGCCCACGTTCTATGAGAAATAATGATATAGTATTATTGATTGACCATGATATAATATGAGAAGGATTTTACTAATTTTTAAATTAGTATTTTGAAATTGATTTTATAGAAGTGACATAACGATCAAATACTATTTTAAAAATTTAGTATTTATTTGAACGCACCCCTCCTTCTCCCTCCCCCTTCTCATTCTCCCCACTCCACCCCAACAAACTCCTCTTATGAGAAATAATCATATTTTTTTTTAATTTTTGAAAAATGAGATATATGAGTTGTGTTCATAATTATAATTATAATTATATATATTCACAATAGCAACTTCCTGAAACAACTACAAAGATTGCTAAGAAGTCTAAAACCCCGACATTAGTTTCAACTTTTTTTCTTTCAAAAAATGTATGACCAAATATGATCGAAATTTTTAAATGGCCCCTATATTTTTTATAAACTTTCATGCATGAAAATATCAGCATAAAATATTTTTTTTGCTTGGTTTTCAAAATTGTAAATATGTCACTTATAGCTTTATTATTATTTATTTATGCAGTATTTCTATTCTACAAATAAGCTTTATTTTATTTGAAGCCATAAGCGTAAATTAGCCATAAGGGGTTCTTCTTGGGGTGTTGTATGACCTGAACTGAAAAATAAATACAATTTTAAATAATTAAAGCTGTCGAAAATTTCTCAAAATCTAATTAAACTCAGTATTACTCTGAATAGTTCTCAGGGAGTGATAAAAATGCAGAAATAATCATGTTATTATGTTATTTGGAATCTTTGCGTTCATAATCGTAATTCACACAGGATACCATTTAACCATTTAACCTAGCTCTTGACTTTTTTCCCTTTCCTTCCACCATTTACACTTCCTCTCATTTATAAAGCCCTGTATTTTCTTACAATACTGGTAGCAAATGCAGATTCAAGATTCATTGGGAGGGTTCTTTCGGTTATTTTTTTATTTCCTTCATTATTTTTCCTGTAATCAACGTTATTAAAAAAAAAAAATAAATGAAGCAGCCTCCTTCTCACTAAATTAAATTATGAATAGCTAGTGGGCCGACACACCTGACTTTTCATCGTGTCTTATTTAGAGCAGCGTTTGTCTAGTGATGCAAATTCGACCGTAATCATTACTGGAACAGTTCGCAGTAAGTGTGATCTATATGATCTACGATTCCTTAAATTCTGCCTTCGATTTTACTGTTTTTAAGTAGAGGAGAGCAATAAAATATATTGCGAGAAGTGGGTGGTGTAGATCATGCGCCATCGACTTCAGGGATGGGCACCACTGAATATCTATAGCGATATATCGCTTTTCGGCCGCAATTTCGAAACGGAAGGCATAAACACTCCTGAATTCGATTGTGATTTTGTATCAACATGGCGAAGATTAGTGGTATCGGAGATTAGTGGTTTTGAACCAACGAACATTTACAGTTTGTATTTAAATATAATGTTTCCAAAAAAAAGTTTATCGATAACAAATAAGCTTGTCAATAGCTACTAAACAAAAAAAGGACTAGGTTAACAAACAGAGGAGAAAAAGGTACTGAAATGTTTTGTCTACTTGTATGAGTAGCTTCACATCAAAGACAGATATCTGTCATGATTAAAAAGTTGAGAAAAAGCCTGTTTTCTGTAACAAAGCTTAAATTTTAACCAATTCTAATGATTTATTTTCATGATTCAACTTCAACATTCGTAAGTAAAAACATCAATAACAGTTTAAGTTGAACCTATAAAACAATAATTGAATCTTACTCCACTTTCTGAAAATAACAGATTTAGTATGTCTTTGATATAAAGCCACTCATATGATTTTCGTCAAGTCATGAAGATATATTATTGGGCATCTCCTGAGTTATACAGTAATGAAGAAGAGGAAATGACCTCCCTTCAAAGACGAGATGGTACTGAGACAACCCATACCCGGAAAGTTGCCACAAGTTTATGATTATTATTACGTAACGATTGTCATGCACTGCAAGTATTTGGTTGGTTGGTCTTGTTTACAGAGGTTTTAGCTTTGATGGAACTCTATAAATATCTCAAACCTTGTTTACAGCTGTCGTTTCTTTCCCTAATAAAACGATTTTCTGATAAGTTGATTAAATGTTAGGATAATTGGTTGAAAACAAAGCTTTGTCTGTAAGACACAAAAATGCAGTTTCCGCCTTGCTTTTGAAATTCACATTCCTTAGTTTTATTAATTATTTAACTTTAAGAAACGTTAATAAATTTAAAATAGAAATTAGTTAGGTATGGTGTCAGGAGAGAATAACGTACAGATAAGAATACATTTAATGTTTAGTTCTTAAGTTGCAAACTTTCATCAGGAATCGGTAAAACGAGACTAGAGCCATGAAATATTGGTACTTTGAATAGTAAAAGTATAAAATATACTAATAGATAATTGCAAGGATATAAAGAAAGATGAAAATATTTTTTAAAATTCAATAGCTTACCTGACAATTATAAATGTATATTTTTAAATAAAAATTAATGCTTAGCAACTTTAATTTTTATACCATTTGTGTATCTAACTTCTATAAATGCATCTTATGTGTATAACTTCTTGGTTGTTAATATACCTATCATATTTTATTCTATCATTCTTTTATCTTTATTTGAATTCTAATTTTTCATTTACAGTTTTTTTCTTTTTCTTCGTAATTCTAGTTTTATATATATATATATATATATATAAATTTCGGGGTGGAGCCCCTCCCCCCTCCCCCAAAAACAAAAAATGAAATCCTGGATCCGTTAGTTGCTGTTTTTAATTATTTAATCTTTTTCCTCATGATTTTATTTCAGACTGCAAAACTGAACTGATGAGCATCAATTCAAATGGCGAGGATGAAGATGATCTGCTTCTTACTCCTGAAGAAGATTTAAATTTAAAAATTAGTAGGTAATTTTTAGATTAATTAAAAATGAAAATTTACTAAGATTTTCCTTATTGAAATAGACTATTTTAACTGTAAATGTGTTGTTTTTTTTTTTTGTTTTTTTTTATCAAAATATGTCTTTTTAATTAACCTCCTGTCAATTTACTTCAACCAACAAGATAAGTTTATGCTTCCTTCATTATGTGTTTAATGCCGGCTTCAAATGGTAAGAAAAATATGTGCCGCATCGTGGGGCGCTAAAAATACGTGTTTGTTAAAAAAATGTTACTATTAATTATATAGCATTTTCAAGTCAAATTCAGAATTTTTCAAACCAAATTGGGATTTTTTCAAATCAAATTTAGAACTTTCCAAACCATATTGTTTTTTTTCCAATCAAATTTAGGATTTTCTATTTCAAATTAAGATTTTTTCCAAAACAATTTAGGAATTTTTATAACAACAAATGGATAGGATATTTGAGTTTTCTTATTAAATTCCTTAAATGTATTACCTATTATGAATAATAAGGTTAGGTGTTATAGCATTTATAGAACAATTTTATTTTATTGATGAGGCAGGTTTTAATCTTCATCTTCAAAGGAACCACGCAAGGTCAAGAGTAAATACAGGTGCAGTAGTACTAGTTTCTACTGTTAGAGGGAGAAACGTAAAACTTTTATTAATCATTAATGACGAAAATGTGGCACATTTCAAGGTAATCTCAAACGTAAATTGTAATGCTGTTTGGTTCAGTGATTTGTTTTCAGAACTCCACGAGAAGATTGCTGCTACTCTACAAAGTGTTTTGGTGAATTTTCCTAATTTTTATTTTGGACCAGGCTCTACCGAATTTAAAGAAGGAGTGTAGGTAGGATGGTACCTCACGAGACCGGGCTCTTGCATATTTTCTTCTACTTCTGCACACCGACGGATCTACAGGGAGGAGGGAAGGGGAGGCTTTTGGAATGAAGCTCCCTCTCCAAAAAAATGGTAAAATATTACCATGTCTTAAGGAAAAAATATCTAAAAGCCATCTCTAAAAGTATTATTGTTCGTGTAATTACATTTAACTTTAAAATTCGAGCTGAAGCCCCTCCTCTCCCAAATGTAATATTGGATCCGCTGATTTTACAGCACGATAAGTCCTTGCGTTGTCCACCACCAAAATACTTTATAGAGCACTAGTAATCTTCTCGTGGAGTTCTGACAAAAAATCATTGGAGAATAAAATCTTCGGGACTAGTCGAGGAATGGATTCAGAAACTGTCTTTAGAGGACGAAAAAGAAACAAAAAACTTTGTGAGGCTCTATATTTGATTTAACCTCCTGTTCGGCTACTAAAGTCTAAGAATTTTACTGTCTTACTTCACATATCAATAGATAAAATTGATGCTGGGCCATTTTTACAGTAGCCCCCCAATTTTCCTCTAACTCAACACAAAATCGGATGAGCTGTTAGAACATCTGAAAGTGAACAACTCAAAGTATAGTTTCTCCAAGAAAAATGCGTCAATAAGACGTAAGTATTGAATGTAATTTTATAAAATTGAGATGGAACTGGACAGGCACAAAAGAAAATTTGTTCATTGGTGTCTAAACCATGGATATTTTCAATTTCGAAATTGTTTTCACTCCCTGGACCAATACTGCTAATACTTCCGATAGTATACAAGCAAAGTGATTTAATATATAATCTATTGAAAAATAATGTGTCAGTTAGAACACAGAAATAAAGTATAAAGGCTAGTTGGTAATAAAAGTATAATTATTAAAGCCTGCCGTTCATAATTTTAATTATCTATATTTGTTCAATATATCAAAGATTAAGCGATCCCTATTAGATAAAGAATTTTTAAATTAAAAAAAACAATTTTTCAAGTAGATTTGATAAAATTTCACTTTTTAGCTCAGAGATCCATTACCATACATGGTAAGGTGCGTAGCCTGAAAGGAATGGGAAGGGAACAATTGCAAGTGATTGATCTCAAAATCGGTATTTTATATCTTGCTCTTTTAGATAGATATCTACTCTTAATATACCATTTAACCTTGATGTTTTGAAAGATGAAGGACTATTGATAATGAGAATTTTGATCATTCTTAAGAGTGTCTGTGAATTAAAGATAAAATCGAAAATAATAAAACAAAATTTTAAATTATTTTTACAGTTTATAATATAAACTATTAGGTATATACCATATTATCTGTGCATTTAACTAAATAGGTACAGAAATACTTATATTTAGATTTTTAATTTCAATAATTATAGTTTATAATTTTTAACACATCTATTTAGTGTAATTAAATTAAAAACTGTTATGTTATAGTTTACCAACCTTTTTTATTCCATTGTAGTTATAATTTGCTAGCAGTTTGCAGTTAAATTAAATATCTTGTGAATATTTTTAATTCTGAAAATAAACTTAACATTAAAAATAAAGAAAATTAAAAGAGCTTTTCTGTATAACTCAGTCGAGGAGTTATTTAGGATTAATGAAGCTTAAAGATTCATAGAGTTTCAATTACAATTTTATTTCTTCTCCATATTAATTTTAAACATATCCTGTATTACTATCCAACAACTTTACTTTTCAAAATTCTAATATTTATTTAATTTTATTATCTTATTACGGCATGATATCTGTAAAAAGGTTTAGAATTATCATATAGCCTATTTTAGTAATAATAATTAGATAAAACTTGGATTAGAAAAACAGGGTGTTAAGTAAGCTATTCATTAACTTTTTTTAACCATAGTAATATTATATATCAATCAGCTAAGTAAATATATCAATCAGCTAAGTAATTTTCATAAATATTACTTTGTTTTTTTATCTATAGACTCCTATAGACTAATTTAATTTTTATGGCTTTGGCGCATTTTAAGGATTGTGACCTTAACTGTTGACACTTAGGTTTTCTTCTTGGAAAATAAAATTAATCTCTGTTACCTAATCAACAATAAATGTTAAACAAGATAAGAGATTTGTCATAACTATCACAAAAGGAATATAGTGACACTTTGACTTTTCATGAAGCACCAGGTTTGGTAATTGTACTGTGGTTATATTATAATTTAAAATGTATGCAATATTTCAATATCAAATGTTGTTTGAAAACACTTAAATAGTATTTTTTTAATTAATCACAGATTCAGTAAGAATTTAACTTGGCATATATTAAAAAAATATTTGCACCAGTTAAACAGATGAATATTAGCAAACCTATACGAGTATATCAAGCACTTACAATCATGTGCTGATTTTTCTTATCTTACATGATTTTTTTTTTTTGCTCAATACTATTACACTAATAATGTATAGAAAAAAAAGTCTGTATATTTATTATAGTATTAATGTATAATCGATTTAATTGTTTTGAATTAATTCATATAAATTTTTTCAGGTAAACAAAATATGGGACTTTTATCTGTCGAAAATGTGAGAAGATATTACTTTTGGGCCACACAGTTTATTGGTTTACTGATTGTGTGTTTAACCCTAGTTCATATAATTCAACATAAAAATGGTTTTGGTGGTAGAAGCTATCCAAAGCTTGAATTTAATTGGCATTACATTTTCATGATGCTTGGATTCACATACTTTTTTGCTAACGGCAAGTATCAATGCCTTTATATAATAAATATGAGATGAGTGAATCGGTTTCATTATTATTTAAATACTTTTCTCTTTATAGCATTGACAGTTTTTCGATTGATGCCGTTGCTATCAAAACAAAAATTAAAATATATTCATTTGGGAACAAATGGAGCAGTTATTTTTTGTGCTGCTCTTGGACTGTTTTTCGTAATAGATGAAAGAGATATTCTAGGGAAAGCACATTTTCAATCACTTCACAGCTGGATAGGAATATTTACCATTGGACTCCTCGTGGTTCAGGTATGGAAATTTTATTTTTTAAATAATGTCAATCAAGAAATAAATGGCTGGTGTTTGGTACAAATCTGAAAACTAAATTTTGTATAGAGCAGATGAAATTATGAAATTTCAATTATTATCATTGTTGTTGTTATAATATAAGAATACAAACTGTCTCAAATCCTAGCTAGGCATAGTACATTTCTGGGCAAAAATTAGAGGATTTTATAAAAGTGAAAACCTTAGTTCAGCAGACACTAGCAGATCCAGGATTTAATTTTGGGGGGGCTTCAGCCCAAAAGAATTTTTTTTCATATATATATATATATAATTAATTTGGAAAAAAAAAAAGAAAATATACTAACTACCTATATTTAATGGTGTTTAAGTCATCCTTGAAGTCCTATTAAATGTTATTACACGAAAATAATACTTTAAGAGATAATTTTTAAATATTTTTTTCCATAAAACATGAATACATTTTACCATTTTTGGGAGACTTCAGCTTGAAAACCCCCTGTAGGTCCGCCTATGTCAACAAATGCTTCTTATATCCATTGGTTGAATAGTACAATAATACAGTTGACCATTTCATCTGCCAGTAATACAGTGAGGTAAAGCAGGATTTCTCAAAATGGTTGACGGGACACCCTACAGTGCTGCAGGAGTATTGCAGTGGTTCCACAAACATATACCAGAGGAGCTACAGTTATAATATTTAATCTCAATATTATTAATATTGAATATTGGAATTGTCAATTTGGTGAATAGATATTTTAAAATTTCATAATCTTATATTTATTAAACAACCAATTAAATTAAAATCAATTAAATTTCAGAAAATACTTGGGCAAAATTTAATTTTTTATATTTATTGCACCAAAAATGGGTAAAGGTTCTATTTTATTATAACGTTAAGCATAACAGTACTATGGATCTTTTTTGGGTGTCACGAAAATTTGTTAGCCCGTCAAACGCACCCCTACAATTTTTTATCTCAACATGTGTCCCACAACAAAAAAAGTTTGAGAATTGCTGAAATAATGAATCACTCATTTCTTCCCGCCTCCTGTGTCCAGTATTGGATTGTCCACAAATGCAATGTAGGCAACTACTTCGCCTAATAGATGCCTTTTGGCCCATGAGAAGCATATCTTGAAATAGTCTTAAATTGCATTACAATGATTTTAGTTTTACTCTTAAAGGACAAACCATTTAAGAGAATCAGCTTATGAGATACATACTTATTTCTTCTCTGAAATAAAATTCCACCTACCTCTCTCTTCATTACTATGTTTAACACAATATACCAACAAGTTTTCAGTGTAATTCTTTTATTTACAATAAATAGGATGAAGTTTGAAGACTTAAACCTTCATTTGAAAAATTTCAGTTATCTAGTTTATGTCAGTGGCCAATCAATTAAGGTTTAAAAGCTAATGTATACATTTAAAAATAGCTAAAATATTTCATTTTGCTTATACGCAGCTTTTTTCTTTTCTAGCTTCCACGAATCTTAAATTTCAAAATTGTATTACTAATTAAACTATCTATTTCAAACTAGTTATTTGCACTAGAACAACTTATACAATTGTGTTTTTAGTTTAAACTGAGATGCATTTATTTATTATTTGTTAAATTTTTCAATCACTTAGCAACTGAAATTTTCAATCTTTAAAAAATGAAAAGCATAAGCCAAATGAGGATGTGGTAATTGTTAGAGCAGAACATTTTCAAAGTATTGGGAAAAATCTGAAGGGTAGTATTTTTTTCTGTCTCAGTTTTTTATTATTTTATATTTATTTTTTTAAATAATCACTGACTCTACTGACTTATCATTTGTAGAAATTTGAAGCTGATAACATGGCAATAATGTATTAAAATTTTAAATTATTAAATTACTCCATTAATTAAAAATTTTCAAACTAAATTTTTCAGTTTATTCTTGGAAGTGTGTTTTACTTATCTCCAAAAATCTCACTTTCTTACAAAGAAGCTATGATGCCATGGCATGTAAAAATTGGAATCTCAGCTTTTATCCTTGGTATAGGTGCAATCATTACTGGACTGAAGTAAGTTTCATTTTATTTCATTATTATCATTTCTTTGATATTTGATAACTTGATGACAGTTATTTTAAACATTTTACAGAAAAGGAAGTTCAGATTCTGAGAGACTTCTTATCAACTTTACCGGAGCATTCGTCATAATTTATTGTTTTTTTATTTTGCATGTATTAAATGACACCAAATATAAGTTTAATTACAGATTGAGATAGATCTATATATAATTAATTAACTATGTACATTAATAATTATTGTAAAAAAATCTATTCTAAACTTAAAATAAGTTGACCATAATACCTAATCTATGATATTAAATTTTAAATGATAGTTTACCATCCATGTTTTCAAATTTATACTTAAGCAAAAGTTTATTTAATTTTTATATATTTTATTTTGTACAAAATACTGTATATAGTTTAAATCCATTTCTTACAAATATAATATCATTTACAGACCTTATTAATTAAAATAAATTTTACAAATCTTGAAGTGAACAATTATTTTCCTGCACCAATTTTTTTATCTTCAAGTTTACTTGTAAATTTTGCAGATGTTTTCATTTCTGATTCCATTAAGCAGTTAATATTTTTTGTTTTACTGGAAATCTTTTTTTTTTTTTTTTTTTTTTTTAATAAATCGTGGTTACTTTGGGACTAGAGGGTTACTTTGCACCAGAGTTTATTTTGAATATGAAATTACTTGGCGGGCTATAACCTTTTTGTATTCCATATTTGTATTTTTAACATATCTTTAATCTTGAAATAATACTGTTCTAGTCTGCCAGGTGATTTCAGATTCAAAATACACTCTGGTACAAAGTCACTTCTCGAGTACCGAAGTGACCCCTGTTTTTAATGGTAAGTAGCTAAACGTTCCACTGGCTTTATCAAAAAATAATGTAATAATACCAGAGAAGTAATTGCAAATCTTTTCTCTTTATTTTAAAGAATAAGACAGGGGAAGAATGTTAACTGTAGAGGTACCTAGAAATCATGTATAAAATTACTGGGCAAGTTGATAAAAATTTAATTGGAAAGAGTATTAAAGCCAAAGAACAGTGTAGACTAGTAGTAAAAATATATTCTTGAGAATGTATTTTTACATTCTGGCTCCTATTTTTATTACTAGAGAAAAATTATAGAACAGCTTTTCTTCCAACTGTCAGGAGTACCCAGTAGCAGAGATGGGCAAATGCTACTCTTGAGTACTGATTACCAGGTTTTTACCCAAATACTAACCTTTTTTAAGTACCAAAGAATTGAATTACTATTTCAGTTGATGCCAAACGATTAACTGAAGTAGTGATTGAATTCGCAATAGTAATCCAATTTGAGTAAAATACTTGGTCCTCGGTACTCAGAGTAGCATTTGCTCTTCTCGTCCCAGAAGGGGGTTTCATGGCGCAATTTGTGCCATCAAATTTTTTGAAGGAGCATATTTTGACAGGTTTTTGAATTTTTGAGAGGGAATATTTTGACAGGTTATGAATTTTCGGAATGAAAAGTTTCATACTAAGGGACAAGGAGAAAACATAGAACAGACTGCAGCAAGTGTAATTGTGTTTGATCTAAGACTTTTCTAATTCTACCTTATTATAATCTGTTTTTAAGAAAATATGAGCAATCGAATATCTTGGGAAGAGAGGAGGGGGGAATAGTTTCTTGTGCCATTGACCTGGGGTGATGGGTACCTCTGCCAACTGTGGTGCGGTTATCATAAAAAATAGCTTGCATAAATCCTGAAGGATGTTTTTGAAATTCTTATATCTTCAGGTACGAAAAGATGGAAGGGCCAAGTCCTACACCAAGTTGGAGGAAAACATATATTGTGAAGCTATTGTAAAAGAGGCCCATGTTCTTGAAGAACTATATAACCCTGGCATGGGAGAGAATAATATTTATGCACAGGTCCGGAACTAGGACTTTTTCTAGGAGAGGCAAGATTAATTTTGCCTAATAGTTCTATAACAGCATTTTGGGTTATATATGTTTCAGAATAAATATCAACACATAAGATAAACTCATTTTATAGGGGTGGGGTGGCCGAACGGGCTAATGTGTGTGCACAGCACTACTGTTGCCCTGCAACCTGATACATAGATAACTCGATAAAAATAGTCAGGAGTTCGCATCCCTGTGATGGTGGAGTCATCATCAAATAAATTAAATACTCATTTTATTGACTTAATTAAGAACAAACAATCAAATAGCAGAAATAAATATTTTTGTTTCATCTAAAAGTATGATTTGTTTCTATATCACCCGCTCCAAAATTCTCTCACCTGGGTCAAGTGTTCCACTTTGCTCCTATGATTCATATATGCATTTAACTCATTCCACCAATCAATGGATGTTAAACTTGACAAGGGAGTGATGATTCTTGATCTATGGTAATAATAACAGGTGTTTCTCCTCTCCCCATGTCCAGTTCCCACTTACTCGTGTATTTTATTTATCATCTGATAACTTTTAACTAATTAAATAATTTCCTCTAAAATGAAAAATAGCTGGGTATACAGCAGATGTAGAAGATGGTTTGCAAGCAAGCAGTATCTGTGTGGCCACATCCTCATAGATAGACAAGAAAGTGGATATCATGTGTGCAGCTAACTATATGTATTTATGCATGCATAAATCTCCAAATTAAGAACATTTGCAGAAAGTTATTTTTCATCTTATAATTAGAAATATCTTTAAGCAAAGAATATTTAAAATATTATTTTATTCAAAGTTTTAAATTTATATATATATAAATGTTTGTCGATATTTTACATTTCTTATATAATTAAATAAGGATTACCATTATAATTAACCTATTAGTAATATATGATAATGTTCCTATTTACAATTATTTAGCATTTCTTATATAACACTACTCTATATTTGCCCCGTGGGAATTAGTCTCAATTTAGCATGCCAGCCATAAGTCTAGAGATTCTCTCTATTACACTACTGATTTTAACAAAATAAATATTTTAAAAGGTTTAGATCTTTATTGGGGTATAGTGTATTTTTGAAAGTTCTCCTTAACCAAGGGTCAATCCATAACTGATAAACAAATTATGAACAGAAACAAATTATGAAATATAGTTGGGATTCATACCTTAGTCTCAAAGTTTGTCAACTGGTCTAACTTTATATATATATGTCATCTCTTTATATGTAATATGTAAACAAGAAGTTCACATTTTTTTTATTGGATTAAAAATGAAACTCTGCCTAATGAGAATAACTGAGTAGCTGCATGAATAAATAAATTTTAAATAAGGAAGAGTTATTAGATTTATCATACATATGTATTTATCAAGAATTATATTTTGATAAAACATTTAATATATCGAGACACATTTTTGATTCTTAAGAATGATTCAAGTTTCCAAAGGAGTTTGGTCTTATATGAGCCCTTTATTTTGAAAGTGGCCTAACTCTGTTTTTCAATTTTTTGCAGGTTATCATGGTTACACGTACAACTTCACACTATATATTAGTAAAACATTTCAGGTTGCTTATATTCATAGCAAATAGGATACATTTTTGACACATAAGTTTTCAGAATTAGTTCAATAACTAAACTGTGTGGTTTGAAAGTGGCCTAAGTCCATTTATTTTATACTTACATCAATATATTTACTATTGATAATGTTCGTTCCCCAAGATTATTAAAAAGTGTCGGAAAGGTAATAATTTTATTGCAAATGAAATGTGACACAAAGATTTTGTTTCAACAAAATTATTAGAAACACAATTCTTAAAAGGGTAAAGAATTCTGATGGAGAATCAGTAAACTGGTTACAAATAATTTGGATGCGTTTTATCAGAAATGAACCATATACAATTTTGTATAAGACAACAATGAATGAGAATGAAAATTTTAAAGTCCTGAATCTATTACCACGTCGGGATAGATCAAGAAAATTCGAAAATATTGTATTGACACCACTCTATAAAAATATCAGACAAATTACAACAAAATTTAAGGACATGATTGACCTATTGCGATATATACCACCGGAACATAATGGCTACTTCAAATCCCTTTCACATGCGCAAAATGTAGATGAATAGTAAATTGTTTGTAATTTTGTATGTTCTGTAATTAAAAAATGTTTTGAATTGCATAAATTGTGTTTCCGAAGTGTTTTAAAGATATGTAAAATAAATTGAGTATTGTGTTTTTCAATTTGAAGCATCTTAAATTATGTTGAATGGACTTGGGTACCTTCAAAGTTTATAATGAATCTGGTTGTTAATTTTGAAAGTGGCCTAACTCCATTCTTGATAATAAAACGCACATTAATCACTTAATAATTGTTACTATTTTAATAGGAACCATAAATTTAACACCCTTAGACACACTTTAACAGTATGACTCATTAGCATGCTATATGTATATTTTTAAATTCATTGAAACGCAAACCCTTAAATATCTCAATTCCAAGATAAATGGAGATAGGCCACTTTCAAAATAAACGGCTCATATGGAGTCTTCATATGGATCTTTATATATAAAGATGGTAACTGAATTAATATTTTTTTAGATTATAGCTAAAATTTGTAATATTTTGTTTAAATTACTACAATTTATTTTAATAGTTATTATTTATATTGTAAAATCTACCCATTATTATTTTTTAATCTTTTTATTTTTGTTCCTAGACTTCCTGGAAATTGATTTATTTTCAATATTATTAATTAAATTAATTATGTTAGTTTTTTATATATTTTATAATACCATTTTAAAAACATGTTTTTGTTGAAATATCAAAGTATTTCATTTTTGGGGCTTATAAAAAATTCAAGATCATTCTATCATCCTGATCTTTTGATGAAACTATTATTTGAAATCATATGAGAAAGTTACTTTGGAATGAGGGAATTAGTTTGCCTGACAACATCAAACCATATGTTTTTTTTTTCAAGAAAATCAAATATTTATGCCTTAGCTTCAATTGCCACTTATATAAGCGTTAGGAAAGTTGAGTTTAATTATGTCTAAAATTTGGAGGCGGGAGTCATTTTTTTCAAAGGTTTGACTAGTTTGTAAACATCTATCAGCTATCCTTCAAGTGCTAACTTATAAGTTTTCGATATTAGAATTTGACAGTTTTTTAATAGTCTAAATCGAAGAAATATTATGCCATTTTTTAAAACCAAAGAGTATTCAGAGAAAAAAATGTAGAGTTATGCATTTCATTCCTTTGTGGCTGTTCATGAAGCTAAAGAGTATTCAAAGAAAAGTAATCAAAAGCTGTATTTTAATTTCATATGAACCATAAAGATAAAAGGAATTGTTAATCAGATCTGCTTGACCCGATAAAAGTGTATCTATAAATTTGTTAAATATTTATTAACTGGAAAATTATTAATGCTAGTACCTTGGGATTACATCTTTCTATATTTATTTTTTTATCAACCAATTTTTTAAACGTATTAAATTCACAAATTTATTCTATTTGAGACTATCTCAGACATAATTAATAAATACATGATAAGCTATTCATTATTTTAAAGAGGTTATAATAAAATCTGGATATATTGAAACATTTTCAACAAACTATTAAAATGTTGTTTATTTTTGTTCATAGTTGTAAAAAATAATTTTTAAAATTCAAATAATCACTTACTACTTAGTTTTTGATAAATAGATTTTAGTTTTAATTAAAGTAGATAATAGTGATTACCTTTTTTTTTAAAAAAAATATGATTAATATATAACAAGCTGTTTCATATTTTCAGCGTATGTTTAGTTATTAGTATTTTTATTGAGACTCCACTTACCTTTTTTTTTTAATCAATTTAAATGGTTTCTTTTATATGCTATTGATGTACTTTCATTCTAATTAGTATTTCAAGAAATCACTCTTCCAAATCTTATGGATAAAGGAAAAAATGTGCTACACCCCATGGGTAGATCAAGACACTGTTTGAATTTGAATGTCCATGAAGTGATTAATGATAACTATGAGGTTACTCATTTGATTCCTTGATAGTTTATTAAATTAAGAGTTGAATCTTTTGCAACTATATACATCTATCCTTATGTTTTATTATAAGTTAACATTTGATAACAAGCTACTATTGCAGTTGTTGGACACACCCCTGTCTGAGCCATGGACAACAGGAACATTTTTTGGCAATCCAGTTAGCCCTCTGTGCAATGCTGCGGCCTTGGCAGCACCAATATGGCGCACTACATCGAGAACTTCAAATAAAGTTTATCCATACTTTAACCCAACTCCTGAGGATACAAGTGCTTTCCAGGTAAGTTGGTTCACTGTGTTTATTATTTATTATTATATAGTACCTTTGATTGACATTTTACTTGAATATTAAATTTAAACCAGTCATTTTAATTCTTTTATGTTTTGAAACATACTTATTTTAGTCATGACTAAGATACATTTGTTTTTAGGAAATGGAGGGTGACCTCGGTTTGCCTGGAACAGCTACTGCTACCGCACATGGAACTATATCTCTACGTTTAGCTCACAGAATGAGAGTAGACTTAACTATAGATCGTGCAGTCCGACTCCTGAACTTTAAGGTTTTTATTTAATCTTACTGTTTATAATACAAATGCCGCTCATCAATGAAATTACTTGGTGTTATCACCACTTCTAAAAAAATACTTAAATTGATCAATTATTAGAAAATAAATAACTCCATGGAACATACATATAAAGATGACAATATTTTCAATGAATAAAGATTAGAATTTTTTAATATATAAGACAGTTTCCATTACATAGCTTATATTTTTATATTATTAAAATTGGTGTTGAAGAATCTGGATGTCTCTGTTAGCTTTCACCAGTTAGTGGAAGCTAACTCTTTCCTGCTCAGTTTCCTTCCAGTTTCAAGCATTGATTAGTGTTCTTGCATCTCCTACCATGGTCTTCCCACCTCCTAATTGGTCTCCCCACTCTTCATGTGCCATGGACATCCACGGTGAAGATCTTTTTGAGAATAAGTATGTTTTTCAAACTGTCCATCCTGACTACCCAAGATTCTCGGCTGCCTAAAAAATGTTGGAGCGATTGTATAGTTCTTGAATATAGCATTTCATCCATCTTTTTACTACTTTAAAGAGGCCAAAGATCTTCCATAGGATCATCCTCTCAAATTCCAGCAGCTTCTTCTCAACAGTTGGTGTTAAAGGCCTACCTCTGAGTCTTACATAAATATTAGTCAAATGAGTTTTTTTTTTTTTAAATCTTGGATCCTAGGCAAACAAAGCAGTAAATTATGGGGATTAGTAAATTTTCAATTTTGTCATTATCCTTAGTTCTTGATAGCCAAATTATTCCTCTTGACATAAAATTATTAGGGGTAGTAATTGTGCAAATCATTGTCTGTTTGATGCTTAATGAGTCTGGTCAATCAAAAAAAAAAAAAAAAAACATTAATAATGCTCACCACACTGTCTCCCATCAATAATCTACTTGATCAAGAATCAAGCATCTCTATTAGAATGGGTCTTTTGTGGACTTTTATATTCTTGTAATTGAAAAAAAATAATTATTATGTTTTTAATATAAGTAATAACATTTCAAAATGATTTGTTTACAAAAATAAACATATCAATAGTAGGCAATAAAAACCTCGTAATACATCAATACATTTTAACCTCCCCTCTTAAAGCTCTATTTACCAAAAGAGAATTCAAGGTACGTATATATATCTAGTATATAAATTGGGTTGTAGTATGTAATAAAAACAATAAGCATTAAATCTATACCACTTTATATTTTTTTCCCTTATAAAATCACCAAAATGGAGATATTCATTGCCTACTGTCGATATGCTTTTATTTATTACAGTTATTTTTATAATCTTAATTACATTTTCTTCTAAGAGAATATAACAAAAAAGTCCAACAAAAAAAAACTTTTAATGACTCTAAATACAAAAAATTCATATCATAGCCATCACAAATAAGTAATAAATGTTGAAAATTGATTTTTTGGAATTAATTAATTTTATAGACTTGTCAGAAATATTTTTGCAAAATAAAAAGTCTTATGAGCATTAATCTAGGACTCAATGGAAAAGGCCCAGATATAAAAAAATTACCCAATAAGATAGTTAAAAGTAAAATATAACATTTCTAGTTTGGTCTCCTGAAAAGTAGCTACATCCATATTCTTTTTTAAACATGGTGACAACAACAAGTGCTTAGTGAATTACTTCAATTTCAATCAGATAATTCTTTTATGTAACAACTATTGATTTTTGTTTTTTGAACATTCAGCAAATCATCAGAGACTATTTTCTTTCCAGAACAACATTGTTATAGCGATGAACCCCACTGGTTCAGCTTGTGCCCTCCTTCATCCAAATGGTAGAGTTCATCAGTATGGTAGCAGAGTAGAAATAATGGCTCACGACATAAGAGGAAATCACAAGTATGTAAACCTAAATATTTTGTTCAATTGAATTGCATTCTCCTAAAAATTCCATAAGTTAAAATTCCTATGAGTCAATGTTAAAAACTTTAAAATTGTTCTCTCTAAAAAAATTAAATTTTCACAACTTTATTCATACAGCTCTAGCATACATTTGTACTACTGAATGTGCAATTAAATATTTATTACATTTTTCTTATGTTATTGTTTCTCTCTTATTGAGCTGATTTATTTTATAAGACCAAAATGAGGTATCTCTGTTAACACATATGTCATATATCACATTGCATGCCATAAATTCATCTTGTCACTGTACCTAGTTTTGATGATGTACGTACAACATGGGTTAAATAATAATAAATAAATAAAACAACATAAATGATTGTTTAATTCATCGCAGTAACTATGCTCTATATTAATTTGTTTGCTTGTTCTTTTATTTTATTTTAAATAAAGTTATTTCATAGATACGCTAAGATGTGGTACAAAGGTGTCAGCTTCACTTCTGAAAACTGTGCACTTGTTTATCTCGTGGACTCAGCTGGAACGCGTACTACAACAGACACATTCTCCGATCTCATTCAGGATTTTTCGTTGGGTGTTTTCTATTCAGAGTCAAGGCATGGACAGAGTTTCGCAATTGATGCAGTTAATATTATACACGGAGCTCAGTATTGGACAACTGAAGAGGGTGTAGAGAACTGGCTTATTAATAATGTCCGCATTTCACAGGCACCAGATGGTCTCGTCAGGTAAATTGGCTTTATATTATATTTTAAACATCTGAAATGAAATGGAAATAGCCTTTATTTATGCATAAATATTACAATTTTTATGAAAACATACAATTACAAAAGAAAAGAAAACAATTTTTTTTTTTACATTATTATAATTTATAGAAAAGTTTTTACTATCTTACATAGGCCTTCCCTTAGGAGTAATAGTCTTTAACACTTCCCTGAGTGACTAGCCCTACTGGGAAGCGGGATTTCTGACCTTTAACCATTTTTCTTTCCGCACATCTCTGTCCCTAGATGCTCTTCACCAAAGAGATCCAGCCAAAAGCCTAAATGGATCTCTCCATCTCTTCATTTGTCGGCCTCTCATCCTTATCCGGTCATATGGAGTCCATTCGGTTACTATTTTTGACCATCTATTGTCATTGCATCACAGGAGATGTGCAGCCCATTTCCATTTGCCTTTTCTTATTTGTGATAGTGTGTCTTTGAGCCCTGTTTCTTCTTTTATCTTCTTGCATCTGATTTTATCTATCTTCTTTACTTTCATAATGCTCCTTTTGATGCTATTTTGCCACACCATGATCTTCCTCTCTTGGGCTTTTGTCAATGACCATGTTTGGGAGCCATAGATCACCACTGGCATAATACATCTATCGAAAACTAGCCTTTTTAGTTCGATACTTATGTTTTCTTTTGTTATGTACTTCGGAGACTAGAACTTGTTCCAACCAAATGCTATTCTTCTCTGGACTTCTTTTGTAACTCTGTCTGAAAAGGAAACTAACTGTCGCAAGTAAACATATTCCTCTATGTATTCCAGGGTGAAGTTGTTCATTTTTATTTCTTCCTTTGAACTATTGATCATTAGTTTTGTCTTATTATGGTTTGGATATAAACCAATTTCTTCACTTTTAAACATCTAATCATCACTTAATGTTTGTTAATTTGAGAGAATAATATCTATACCTTGGAACAATAACAAAGGTCCAATGTCCAAAATTTTGAAATTTGAGTGAACTTCACAAAAGATATCAGGATAAGGGTTTACTTCATTAGAAGTGCCTATCCTCCACTTATCAGTTAATCTCAATATTTAATAATTAGCTCTTTTACAATTAATGAACACTATGTCCTAATTTCTATCATGCAATTCACTGACATTTTAGTGTATCAGACATTATCCCTTTTTGTTCCAAGATTCAAGCATAAATAAATATTTAATTATAATAACTTAATATATTCTTTTTGTTTCTTTTGTTGAGAAATTGTTTGTTATACCAGTCAGGTTGGCAATGATTGCTAGTGACTTTTCAATTGTGTTGAGCTCCCTTTGTAATTATATAAACGTTGTTTGTTACTTTTTATAGGTAAACATATTCAGAAGTAACATTTATCTTGTCCAACAATCGGGTGCATTTGAGGGAAAAAAAAATATTATTTTGTACTTTTCCATGCTTCCTCTACTGCAAATCATTAGACTTTATTATTATTAGAGATTGCAGATGATGTATTTATTAATTAATTGACACTTAAATAGAAATTTTATTTATTTTTTTATCATTGTTTAGTTTATTGAAGTGATTATAATTAATATTCATTATTATTACATTATAATTAGTTCATGTTTTGTTTTTTGTTTAAATGAGATTATTTTAGGTTAGTTCTGTTCTGACATTGTTACCCTAGTATATTTGCAGGCAACTCTACTACATTTCTTCTAAGCACTTGAGCAGTTTCAAATAAGACTTATTAATTTATTTAATCTATCAACTATTATTTATTATTTGTTATTATCCCCAAATAAATGCTTAAAATGCTTTTTTTTCAGGGTTGCTCGAAACAGTAACAAGTATCACTTGCGCACCTCCCCGACTAATGGCACAGCTTCAATGACAACCCCATTCCTCCATTGCACAGCCAGCATGGGCAGTACCTCTCACCTCTTCGTGAGGCGTGGTGAGAGACGCATGCACTTTGACGGTTCCAGCTTCATTGTACGCAATGCTGGCCACTCGGCAGGATTCGATGAAAAAACTCAGCTTAAAGTCTTTTAAAAATGAGCAGTTTTTGCTTTTTATCAGTATCCATCACTGTCTCTCCCGAAACACAAGACTGATGTCGTTTGCCACTGTTTTATATATAATGGAAGATTACTTTAGGTTCCTGGCTGAAAATATGCCCGTTATCGGGATAGTTTTTAATATTTATTGGATTGGAAATACTTGGCACATCTTTGTGTATTGTGTATCTCATGGGGTATGTTAGATGTACATGGAATAAACTGCGTTTCCTTTAGTAATATTTTATTTTACTTTCTGCCAGTTATTGTGTAAATTAATACATCACAAATCATAACTCAGCTTTGTTTTTCATTTATTAAGTGTGTTTTATATTAGAATTCTTCCAGTAATAAGTTTTAATAAAAATATTTTATTAAAATTAAAGAATGTACCTATTCCTGTCATAAATATTGTTACAAGGAAATATATATTAATTTTAACAGAAAAACTTATTTTTTCAAAAACTTTATCAGAAAATAAAATGGTTATTTATAAAGAGTAAAATTAAAAAAACAATTACTCAAAATGTTCACCTTTTGCCTTGACACAGGCATTTGATCTTCGTGAACAGACATCAATAGCAGCACTTCTTGAGGAAAGCACTCAATTGCTCGGACCAGAGATTGTCTGAGGCTTTTCAAGTTAGGGTGTGCGTGCTCTGTGGCATGCCATCCTCTCCTGTTCCGACCAAAGCCGATAATCTAGTGGGTTGAGATCAGGGCTTCCTGGAAGCTAATCTGAGGAAGAGATAAACTCTGGAATGTTTTTTTGCAGCCACTGCTAAGTTGACCTGGTCTTGTGAGCTGGAGCGGAATCATGCTGGAAAACTCAATGACTTCCAGCAAACAGAGTATCATTTCGAAGCTTGACAACAGGTTCCAAAATATTGTCCTGATAGTTTTTAGTATTTGTTTTAACTCTTTTTTTTTTCAAAAAAATGGAGCTTTGAGGTGCCATCAAAGCAAATTCCCCACCAAATCATCACTGAGGAAGGGTGATGACCTCTTTCTACTCTTCCAATTATTTCTTGGGTTTCATTAGAGCTGTGCGTGTACACACGATAATTTTGGGGATTACATTTTTCTTCAAATGTAAACATTTCCTCATCGCTAAACAAAATCTTTTGATAAAGACCATTGGTGTAAAGGCCAAGGAGCACTTTGCATCTATCCACTCTAATGTTTTTTAGAAAAGTAGTTAGCCTTTGACCTGTCATTCTTCGAAATCCTAAGGTCACTTTTTACTATGTGAGATAATGATCTGACAGAGATTCCCATTTCACGAGACATGATTTGTTGTTTTCGAATGAAATTGCTTCTGATTCGAGCAGTCACTGCTCTAACTGCTTTTGCCGCTCTCACAACGCGGGAAGGACCCGGTCGAGGTCTGTCACATATATATAGTGTCTCATTATATCTATTTATAGTGCGGTACACGGACATAGGACTGATACCCAAAGGTTTCAAATTGTTGAAAATCTCTGACCTACATTTTCAAACTTTGTGTAAGGCGATCACAGCTATTCGGTTTTCTTTGTCACCCCATTCCATGTTAACTGAGCGAAAGAAAAATACAAACTAATTGGAATTATTATCCTGACATGTAAAGAAAATATCCTGATAAAGGTAAGGATGATCTAAATAATACCCAAGGATGTAAACAAATTTAACAATAGCAGCAGGTCACTTGTGTTTCTACATCCTGAAAAAAACGAATAACAATGGTTTATTTCAGGTTCTGTACATCCGTCAGTGATATATACACATATATTTTTAACCACTTATACATATATTTTTACCACATATGCAAATACATATATTCAATATGTTCCAAAGATTGCTATCATTCAATTTCAGCTTTTGTAACAGTATTTATGGCAGAACTAGGTACTTTTGAATGATAAAGATAAATCTCGATTTTAAGTTTTTAGCATTATCATTAGATTCAGCAAGAAGTACAGTTTGCCAATTGATGTTACCTAAAACCATGTAAAGGAAGGTGTGATGCCTAAGCACATTGTCTGTGGGCCAGACCCCCTTACCGTGCACCCCCCCCCACATCCCTATAAATTGCATATCGTTGTGTTCCTTGTGACAATTTATTAAAAAAAAGCCAATGTTCCCACAAAAAAAAGTGAACGAACTGCCCCAAAATGGCGTCCAAACATGGCGGATTGACGACTTTGACTTTAGTTAGTTTTTTTGTTACTGAGAATCAGCATTTGGCTTAATTTCATTATAGTTGGTCTTTTATTAAAGCTGGATAGTCAGAGAATAATAAAACATGAAAAAATATTAAAAACTAATTGGCTTAGGCATTAAAAAAAATCGGTAAAGTCAATTTTTTTTACAAAAAAATTTTCAAGTTGAAAATCAAGCGTCGTTTGTAATTAAACGGTCAACAATAATGCAAAACGTGCTGAAATAAAACATCTGGAGAATACATTTCTCTTTCTAAAACACTGATTACTTTTTAAAATATTTGAAGTAGTTCCGTATAAAATGTACTTAAGCGGCAGAAAAGCGCTACTGGCGTGGGTGCCTACAGGCCTCTACCACACCACTCAGTACTCATAAATGGCTTAGTTATAGTGCTATAATAACGTTTTTGTTATATTTTATTGATTATATTAACGAACAAATATTAATACAATAATTTAATTGTAAAAAATTATTTTTTTTTAAATTTATTATTTTTGTTTTTATTTTTCATTATTTTTTTTTTAATTTAACTTCATTTATTCTATACGGAGATCGCTTAAGAAGGCCTCTATTATAAAAATTATAAAATTATAATAATAAAACTTAATTCAAAAATACTTTGCAGAATATCTTGATTTTTTTATTTAATATTTGCAATTTAACATTTTGTTTTATATATTTACTGATTCTTAGAGGTAATTTAAATTGTATATACTTCCCGGAAATGAGTCATATTAATATCTGTTTTATAAACTAAAATAATATATACCTAATCTGAACTGCTTTTAATGAATAGGTGATGGATTGTTTAGTAAAATTGTTATATCGCTATTAAAAAAAACATTTTTATTTCCTTTATTTTATTCGAAAGTTGGACCATATCATAAAAAATAGGAACTTTTAATATTAAAGTGCATTATTCCCTCTGCACAAATGAAATATGGAAAGGGCGAAGCTATAAGTTCTTCTATGTAACTGGAACTGATTGTTAGTATTTGGTCTCAAAATGAGGGAAAACGCGAAATTGAACCCAAACATTGGAAAAATACATTAAGCGAACGACAGTGCCAAAATTTCGGAAAAGAAAACAAGGATCAGTATCCATTATATGGCTAAACGAATATATAGTAGACAAATGAACAGAATATTTCAAGATTCTGCTAAATGGGGGTAAAAATGCTTGATCAGTTTGGATGATATTAAGCAGGTTTATTATGGTGAAGACCATTTCATCAGCAAGAAAGATTTGTTCTAGGCAATTGGCAAGTCAGCTGGTCTGGACGAAGTAACCTGAAATGCTGTGCGTACAAAGGCTACAAATGTATTAGAAAATTATATGAAAGGACTGTAGTTTTGTCCCTTTGCAGGAAATGAGATACTAGGAAATGTTATTCGAGATTCCTTACTGTTTATAGTACCAAAGAAAGTCTACTCAAGAATCGTATAAGCTAAAATTAGAAATATTGTCGATTGCCTGAGCGATATGGATTGAGAAACTCAAGTTGCACATTGGAGCATAAGTTGCAAATTGGGACTGTCTTCACTTTAAGGTAGGTTATAGAGAAGTCCACAGAGAAAGAAAAATGGTTCTCTATCTGCTTAGTGCCTCACACTTTGGATTGATCGAATATCTACTAGTCTTTCACAAAAGCTCGTTTTCCTTTCAGATTCATTCAAAAATCTTTTGCAATTGCACTAAAGAGGAGCAGAGCTATTTCCTTTTATCAATAGACCTCTGTATAACTTGCTTCAAAGTGAAGATAGTCCCAATGTACAACTTCAATAGCAATCTAAAATAAAGTGGTTTACATCAACATTATCAACATTATACCTTACATTACATCAACATCATTATCAACCTCGTTTACTTCCTCCAGACCTGCTTGCCAATTGCTTAAAGCAAATCTTTCTTGTTGATAAAGTGTTCTTCACCATAATAAACATTCTTAACATCATCCAAACCCATCAAGCATTTTTACCCTCTTTTAGCAGCATCTTGAAATATTCTGTCATCTGTCTACTGTATATTCGTTTAGCAATATAATGGATACTGATCCTTGTTTTCTTTTCCGAAATTTTGGCACTGTCGTTCGCTTAATGTATTTTTCCAATGTTTGGGTTCAATTTCGCGTTTTCCCTCATTTTGAGACCAAATACTAACAATCAGTTCCAGTTACATAGAAGAACTTATAGCTTCGCCCTTTCCATATTTCATTTGTGCAGAGGGAATAATGCACTTTAATATTAAAAGTTCCTATTTTTTATGATATGGTCCAACTTTCGAATAAAATAAAGGAAATAAAAATGGTTTTTTTAATAGCGATATAACAATTTTACTAAACAATCCATCACCTATTCATTAAAAGCAGTTCAGATTAGGTATATATTATTTTAGTTTATAAAACAGATATTAATATGACTCATTTCCGGGGAAGTATATACAATTTAAATTACCTCTAAGAATCAGTAAATATATAAAACAAAATGTTAAATTGCAAATATTAAATAAAAAAATCAAGATATTCTGCAAAGTATTTTTGAATTAAGTTTTATTATTATAATTTTATAATTTTTATAATAGAGGCCTTCTTAAGCGATCTCCGTATAGAATAAATGAAGTTAAATTAAAAAAAAATAATAATGAAAAATAAAAACAAAAATAATAAATTTAAAAAAAAATAATTTTTTACAATTAAATTATTGTATTAATATTTGTTCGTTAATATAATCAATAAAATATAACAAAAACGTTATTATAGCACTATAACTAAGCCATTTATGAGTACTGAGTGGTGTGGTAGAGGCCTGTAGGCACCCACGCCAGTAGCGCTTTTCTGCCGCTTAAGTACATTTTATACGGAACTACTTCAAATATTTTAAAAAGTAATCAGTGTTTTAGAAAGAGAAATGTATTCTCCAGATGTTTTATTTCAGCACGTTTTGCATTATTGTTGACCGTTTAATTACAAACGACGCTTGATTTTCAACTTGAAAATTTTTTTGTAAAAAAAATTGACTTTACCGATTTTTTTTAATGCCTAAGCCAATTAGTTTTTAATATTTTTTCATGTTTTATTATTCTCTGACTATCCAGCTTTAATGAAAGACCAACTATAATGAAATTAAGCCAAATGCTGATTCTCAGTAACAAAAAAACTAACTAAAGTCAAAGTCGTCAATCCGCCATGTTTGGACGCCATTTTGGGGCAGTTCGTTCACTTTTTTTTGTGGGAACATTGGCTATTTTTTAATAAATTGTCACAAGGAACACAACGATATGCAATTTATAGGGATGTGGGAGGGGTGCACGGTAAGGGGGTCTGGCCCACCGTGTAATTGGGTTGATAGTGTGCTAGGTTATGAATGGTTTGGGTTCGATTTCCTTCTGGATCAATTACATCTTGAGAAATGAATCTTGATATCGGAAAATAAAATATATATATATACATACCAGATTAGCTACTGAGCTAACTCACTGGAGTAGACACTCGGGCTGCTAAACTATTAATATTAGGTACGAACGTGGCTGTGGCAGGTAATTATTCATTCTGTTTTATCAGTCGCGGATTGACCCTGAAGTCCTGGAGTACACCCAGCTCCTATAAAGTGAGTACTCTTAATTAAATAATTAAGAGGAAAAATGTGGCGGTTGAGCGCACTAGCGGATCCAGGATTTAATTTTGGAGGGGCTCAGCCCGAAATTTTTTTTTCTCATAAAAATAACGATAATTACTTTGGAAAAAAAGAAAGAAGCTAACTACCTATATGGAATGGTGTTTAAGTGATTCCTAAAGCCCTTTTAAATGTAATTACACGAACAATAATACTTTAAGAGATACTTTTTAAAAATTTTTTTTCGAAAAAACATGGTTATATTTTAGCATTTGGGGGAGGAGGGGAGCTTCAGCCCGAAAGCTCCCCCCGTAAATCCGCCCGTGGTTGAGCGTGATCCCGACCCAGTCATCTCATACTTCCTAACTTAATCCACAACATCCTAAAGTACTGAATCCCCGACCCTTCATGGGTTGTATTGGTACAGGCCTTTTATATATGTATCTAAAGAAGAATACAGTTTTAGATTAAGAAGGAAGTTATATGTTTTTATTTCGAATTATAAATAATTCATAATTTTTTCAATAAAATCTTGAATAAATTAATACCAATTTTTATTTCTATTTAATAAATAGTCAAAGAACACCATGGGTGCCCAGAAGGTGGTTGCATGGAACAAGTTGTGCCTTTTTTTATTTTGATTGACCACAAGGTTATGAGATTTTAAGGGGGCACATATTTATGGAGTTGTGAATTTTTAAAGAGAACTATGTTTTTGTGAGGTTTCAATTGCACAAAATATCTAAGGTACCAAGTAAAACTATAATACAGTTTTTATAATTTTACTTTCATTTGCACCGTTTTTAAGGAGAAGAGAGCAATAACTTTGGGAGAGGCACTAGCGAATCCAGGATTTAATTTTTGAGGGGGGGCTTCAGCCCGAAAGCTTTTTTTTCATAAAAATAACGATAATTACTTTAGGAAAACAGAAAGAAACTAACTACCTATATTAAATGGTGTTTAAGTGCTTCCTTAAGTCCTTTTAAATGTAATTACACGAACAATAATACTTTAAGAGGTATTTTTAAAATGTTTTTTTCCATAAAACATGGTTATGTTTTACCGTTTTTGGGGAGGAGGGGGGGCTTCAGCCCGAAAGCCTCCCTCCCCCGTAGATCCGCCCGTGGGGAGAGGTATGCTCCATAGCCCTTGGTGACAGTGCTGATCTTAGTGCAATTTTTTTAGCGCCGCGATCATCAGGACTCTCGCCACTTGTTAGAATTGAAAAAAAATACAAAACGTGTTAAAATAATTAATTTGAACTATTAATAAAGCAATTGTACTAGAAAAACATTGAGTGTAATAAAATTCAAATATTACATACTATGTACAAGCTTAAGAAATAAATTTAATTTATTTTAGGGGGGGAGGGAGATATGGCGTTACCGTCAGGGGGCGCCGATTGTCTCAGGCTGCCATTGTTTGGAGGGATGGACACCCCTGAAGAATACAAATTGCAGGAAGGAAACTGGATTCGAACCTCTTATTGAACCTTAACACCTTAAATAATGTCATGATTTTTAGTAATTTATTTTGATTTTTATGGTTCCCAATATCATATGAAATTTCAAATAAAGTGGCTAGCCCCATAATTACTTACACTAGGATAGCTTTCCATAAATATCGTTTGCAGTTACTATAAATAGAACGTACATTTATGTACATATACATATGTAAATTTTTATTTCGTTAATCCGTCAATAATTTTGATTCATTTTGTCTTTCCAGTCATTTCCTCTTTCTTCAATTAGCGGAGTGACTAATATTTTATTTTTTCAGTGGCATTTCTTACAACAACTAATATAATCTCAACAACAATGTAATAACACTAATATAACAATGATTTTCTCCCCAAAAGTATGCTTATGAAACTCTTTAATCACATAGACTGTTAAAAATATCTTAACATTCATTATAATGTTATGCTTACAATAAAATGCTGAGATTGCTGAGCGTGTTAGGAGAATGGAGGAGGGGGAAAGAGAAATCCAAAACATTCAATAACGTTTAAAAATCCTAATAGATTAAAAATATTTCCTCTTTAGAACATATTGAATATATGTATCTGTATATTTGGTTAAGAATATATGAGTATATATCACTGACGGATGTACAGAACCTGAAATAAACCATTGTTATTCGTTTTTTTTCAGAATGTAGAAACACAAGTGACCTGCTGCTATTGTTAAATTTGTCAGAAGTTCATTTTTTATCTTTATAGCTCCATTATTTTTAACGTTTTCACGTTAAAATGGAGGGCAGCTGCTATGTTTATTAAATACTGCTCAACCTCTTTTGAATCTTTCGTTTAATTGAACTATATATTTTTCTCGATAATTTCTAGATTTTTCTTCTTCCTTAAACATATGTTACTTTATTTATTATCATACTATCAAATAAAAATACCCTTCGTTCGACACTGCCAGATTGGTTCCAAAGGTTCGGCTATGGAGCTACGGATGGCCTGCCGCTGCACCATGGTTCGTAGTAACTTGAGGTTGGGTGACCCTCTCCAGGCTATCTGAGCTCCCGCAAGCAACATATGTCTGTAACGAGACTAGATCTCGCGGTCCAAGAACCTCATGGTCTATAGTACCAACCGAATAAAAAAAATATATATATATATAGAAATGTGTGTGTGAGTGCATATACATATATTAATATATGTATCATTTGTTTATAACGTTTTGTGGTTAAAAATTAAGGAGGCGATTAATAACGAAATTAGACGACTTTTTTAACCTCTTGTAAATTAATGAAATTTGAAGTAGGCGGAGTTAGGATTTACATGGCTATATATTAGGTAATAAAGTATTCAATTTATTACTTATCAATAAAATATCAAAATTTATATTGTTATAATTGATTATTACTGTTAAAAGAATAAAAAGAAAATGAAAACTGGGAGAATGCTGAGATTGCAAAGCGTGTTAGGAGAATGGAGGGCGGGGAAAGGAGAACACCAAAACATTCAATAACGTTTAAAAATCCTAATAGATTAAAAATAAATTAAATTTTGAAATTGAAAATAAAATTTTCTCATTTTAACTTTAGAACATATTGAGCTGTTTAGGAGAAATGAACTATTCATAACTTCCGAATCACTAGCGGATCCAAGATTTAATTTTGGGGAGGGCTTCAGCCCGAAAGCTTTTTTTTCATAAAAATAACGATAATTACTTTGGAAAAACAGAAAGAAACTAACTACCTATATGAAATGGTGTTTAATTGATTCTTTAAGTCCTTGTAAGTGTAACTACAGGAAAAATAATACTTTGAGAGATATTTTTAAAATGTTTTTTTCGATAAAACATGGTTATATTTTACTATTTAGGGGGGGGAGGCTTCAGCCCGAAACTCCTCCCCCCCGTAGATCTGCCCGTGTTCCGAATGAATGGTCAGAGATGATGTGATATGATTTCCAGTCCTCATTTTGCGAAACATTGACCCACTTAAATTTTGTTTAAGAGATTAAAGGCTTTACATTGAATCTTCTAATAATAACCTAATTATAATTATTACCTCTTTTTTTTTTATTTCATTATTTATATTAAATTTTGTATTCATCACACTTATTAATGTAATATCCCGTCAACTTTGGATAGTTACAATTTTACCTAAATATTGTATTACCTTCAAAAAAATACTTTGAGATAATATAGTGGTGCCTTATTATTCAACAAACATCACCAACTCACGACGTGTTTGTGATTACAGCTATGATTTATAAGTTAAAATTAGTCATTTTTAATAAGGCACGGAGTAAAGCGAATCCGCAAATGTCACATTAAGAATTCTCAAAGCAGATTTAATAATAAAAAAAAAATACTTGAAACTTTCAATGGTTTAAAACCAATCATATCTGTAAACACATTACTCGTAAAGTTACCAATTTTCTAGAGAATGCTCTCATGTACCTCAAAATTAATGTTTTTCTTTAAGTATTCTTTTTTTTTTTATTTCTTCCTTATTAATAAAAAGAATCCTTTTCTGGTTAAATAATTTATCAATTTATTTCCAGTGATAAAAAAAAAAACACCTTTGAATATACTGAAACGTATTTTAGGTTAAGAAAAATAATTTATGTAGATTCATGTCTAGCCAGCAAATGTAGATTCATATTTATGACATGTTCAATGCTATTCGTTGGAGATTATTTCTGCTTTAGATACTAGTACCAATAATTAATAAAAGGCAATTCTGAGATAAATAATTATGAATATGCATTGTGTATTTTGATAATTCTCATTAATTTGAATACAATAGTAACAAACATTTAGAATTGTATATTTAATCAATTGTTAGTTCAGTTTCTAGGATAGATTGGATAAAAAAAAAACACAGGCCATGTTACCGTACTCATCGCACGAATGAACACGAATCCTACCTTTAATCGAAATCGCCAAAAGAATTCCCGCTAAAAACTAGTTCGTATGTTTGCAAAAAAAAAAAACTTTCGCTGGCATTGAGTCTGGTGGTGGGGAGTTGATCATTTCCTCGGTTGCTATGAAGGTGCTAGCTGTCTTGATATTCTTCTGCTTCTCTTCGACGTTCTCTGAAGACACCCTTCGACTTGTTCATCTGGTGAGTGTTGAAACTAGATCTAAATGTTATTTCACCGTCCTTGAACTATTTACTTCCTGTCAAGAGCTTAAGTTTCCTTTTATTACCTTCCCAACGAGGCTATTGTTCCTTTAATTCCACACTTCCTTTTCGGAACAGCTGTAAGTTTATATAATATAAGAAAATATTTGTTTTTAAAACAACTACGTTTCGCGAAATCTTTGCGATATCAAGATATCTATCGTGAGAAGGTCATAGATCTTTTCCGTTCCGTATCGCTATGGCCCACATCCCCGTTTTTATGCTTAAGTAAACGAATCAGGATTCCACTATAAATAAAACTCAGTGCTGGAAAAATATTTAAATTTCGGATTAAATAATTAAATTTAAGTTTTGTTTATTTATTATTGATGGCTTAGGTATAAGGCGTTTTATTATGGATTAATCATGTATGCCAGAAGCGTCATCACGGAACCACAGTTTATTCAAGTGTTGCTTTCATGTTTGTTTTTTTCTCTAGGAATAAATTTAAGTCTTATTAATTTTAAAGTTGATGTTAAAAGTATTTTAAAAGATTTTTAAAAGTTTTAGTTTCATTTATTCATGTTTAATTTTTGTAGGTCGTTATACTTAATAAAAATAATACTTTATTAAAATAAATACTTAATTATAATTTTTATCATCATCTGAAGTAAGACAATATTATCAGTTTCTATAATAAGCAGTTATAATGTTCTATACTTGCTACGTTTTGGGTTATTCGCTTTTCGAATGCGAATAGGGATCCAAGAAACAGCCTAGAGTCCGTTAATTTATCTGATATATTTCTATCGGTTCGAGATGAGAATCGATGTCTTAATATTGTACTATATACCCATAAAAACAGTTGAGCAAAATTTATTCGAATAAAAAATAAATAATAATGAATAAAAATTGATTTCAATCACTAAAAATAATATCGTATTTATTTGTCTGTGATTGCAAAATAACCAGAATAATCATACTTTATTCGCTATTCAATAGCCATTAACCGCTGAATAAAAAGTTATTCAGTGAAAATATTGGTTGAATAAACATTTATTCAAGACAAAAATTCACTGAATAACCATCATTCAACAATTAATCATTACATAAGTACATACATATATTCTTGTCGATGGTATCGAAATGGTATTTAATTTTTTAAAATTAAGTTTTCAGTATATCAAATAAGAGTCCATTGTTATGTTGAGAGGAGGAGGGGGAGGGCGCATCATATATTAATATACTATCAATTCGCGGTTTGCGCAATCCATTATTATGAAAATACTGTTGGATTTCAAATTGCACATCACATTTTAGTAACTTTTCGGATTTGATCGATGCTATGGTCCATTATTATGTTGTCGGAGGATTTTTTTAATGAAAATAATGATGCATTTCAGAATGCGTAATTGTGCATCATTTTTTGCTACCTTTCGGATTTCATCTATATTAGGGTCCATTATTATGTTGTTGAGGGCTCTTTTTTCGAAAATACTGTAGGATTTCAGAATGCGCAAATGTGCATAATGTTTTTTTTGCAACCATTAGGATTTGATCGATATGGGAGATTATATATATACTGCGCATTCTGAAATCGGGCAGTATTTTCATGAAAAAAGAGTCTCCGACAACATAATAATAAAACCTAATATCGATCAAATCTGAAAGTTACAAAAACGTTAAGCACAATTGCTGCAGAAATCGGGCAGTATTTTCATAAAAAGAGCCCCTGATAACATAATAATCGACCCTAATATCGATGAAATCCGAAGAGATACAGAAACGTGACACGCAAATGCGCATTCAGAAATCGGACAGTATTTTCATAAAAAGACCCCCCGAAAACATAATAATGGACCCTAATATCGATGAAATCCTAAAAGTTACAAAAACGTGATGCACAATTTGAAATTCGGCCGTATTTTTATAAAAAGCGCCCTCGCCCGGCAACATAATAGTGGACCCTAATATCCATTAAATCTGAAAAGTTACGAAGGATCAAATTTTAAATTCATTGATATTAGGAAATTTTTAAATATATCTATTAAAAAAAAAAGAAGATTGTTACGAGACTCTTGCGCAATACCAAGACCATGACCAAGACTGTGTTGTGCGCAAGACCTTGGTCTCGCATTTGGGCATCACTACTCATAGTAAGTCCCCTAAGCTACTGCCCTTCATGCTACTTCCTTAGTATCTTCGTTTCCGTTTCTTGACTCTGGACCTCTATTCGTCTCTTTATCTTTCATCTGGATTTCCTCCCTTGTTCCTCTCAGCTCTTTAAAGGAAGTAGTTGTACTTCCTTCTCCTTCATCAGAGTCCTCACACGAACACCTTTTCAAAACTGCCCCATGCGATTCTTCCTCCAGACGCACTTTTTCCAATGGCTTCTGGTTACTCTGCCTTGTCTGCCTTTTACTCTGGTTATTCAATATTGCCAAGTCTGCCTTTTTTTAACAGCTCCACCATACAGTCTGTTCAATAGCTGTATCAAAAACGTCTTTCCTTCTTCCTCCTTTTTTCTATTCAAACATTTTTTTACAGTAACCTTTGATTGTCGGGTAATTTTTTACAGAAGGATCTGTCCTTCTACTTCTTCATGAAATTCCCAAATGGGGTTTTCAGTTCCTTTATAGTGCCTTTAAATTTATCTTATCTTTAACACTCACTAAGATGCTTATTGGCATTATATTAGGCAAACAAGGATGCCGACCAGGCGCCACGCATACTTCCCAAGATACAATAATTATTCTCAATATTTATTTTCTCCTGTAATCGGCTAATTTTATTTAATTATTATTTATGAAATATATTATAATTTTCCAATGTAACCATAGCAAGCTAATGGTAAATTCCTCGATAAATAGCAAGCTAATATTCCTATAAAGCTAAAGAGTTTTTACTTTCACATATATGAAATAGTAAGGACAGTATTGCGTTCCTGACAATCTTCGAATCTGAGTTTTCAATGGAAATTCATGTTTTGAGGTCTCCTGAGTCCAAATAACCAAGTTCGGCAAAATGTGTGTGTGTGTGTGTGAGAGAGTGTATGTGTGTGTGTGCGCGTGTGCTTTTGTGTATGTGACGAGTCTAGCTTAAAAACGAAAAGTCGAATGAAAGTGAAATTGCACATTTGAGGTATGTATATACTATACTTCAGATGTTACAGGAACTTTTTCGTCAAAATCGACTAACCAGAAGTGGCACTTTATATCATCGATGAAATACATTTTTACGATTTACTCGAAAATGGCTCCAACGATTTTGATTAAACTCTGTACATTCTCGTTAATGTTCTCTAACAGGGCTTAAATGGCAAATTTTCATTATTAGCTTCCTCTAAAGTACCTTTAATTTTTTTTATTTGAAACAATTAACCATTTCCCATTGATCTATAATATAAAAACTAATTAAATATAAAATATGAAATAATTTGATAATTAACTAAAGGAGAAGTAAGAGATCGTAACAGAGAATAGTTGTAATGAAGGAACCAAAGGCACACGAGAGCGGGCCCGAGCTCACCCGAAGATTAGACAGGCTTCCATAGTAACATGAGCTTAATATAATACGGAATCCGACAACATTATGTACATATAAATTTCCTAAATGGTTTCGTTGGTATTGTTTAATATTTGATTGTATAGATTACAGATATATAAATATCAAAATGTTTATATATAAGGGTACTTAAACAAATAAAAATATCCACAATGAAATATGAATCAACATATAGTCATATATTCTTGTTCAAGGTGAAAATTTTCTAATATTATAAAATAAGGCTCTGTTTATTTTTATTTTCATAGCTACGTTTCGGCCGGTAAGCCATCTTCAAGCCATCTGTAATATAAACACCATTAATTTTATATTTTAATGTAATGTAATGTGCTGCGCTCTATGAAGGTGGTATTAGTCCTATTTAATTAAGTATTCTATAAATTATAACTTTAATTAGGTTAAGTCAATTTTTTTTAATAAATGTTTGTAATAAACTCTACCAGTTAAATTGTAAATTAACAATACCACTGTATAGAGTGAGATTGCTTTTTTATTCAATAAAAAAGCAACCTATAGGCTTAGCCATAAATTAGTGGTTTGAATTAATTGCAAACTTGAACGATCAAAACTTTCTGTTGAGAATTTTGAGAGTATATGTCAATATGTTATAATAAATTTAAAGTTTTAATATCTATTAATAGAAAAATTAGTTAACTAGGCATAGAAAATTAGGTTGAACTTGGAATAAATTATTCAAATTTCAAGAATGTTCACCATTGCTCACACAAATAAACAACTGAATGTAGTTCACTGCTGAAAATAAAACCAAAATCGATTTTTTAGTTTAAGATGTTTAAACTTGAATATGTCTAATAAGACGTTGTGTACACAAATTCGGGAAATAAACTTTTCTAAAAATACTAAACCAGTTATTTGTTACAATTTATGTAATGAAATTGGAAAATAATGGAATTTATTAATAAATATATACATTTTTATGTATGTATACTTACATACAAATGTATATATAGTAATGACGAAAATGTATACATTTTATATAACACATACTCGTATATATTTAATTACAAAAATAATTTTAAAGTAAACGTAGGCTCTTTTTTCCGGATTACGAATATATAAATATTTACTTTTACAATAAAAATAATATACGCCATGTAATTAAAAAAAAAATCTCTCACTAAACACATAATTCCTTTTTATGTTATGTATCTAATGAAAGATAAAAGTCTCTAAGAATGTTCAGACAAATAGTTAGATTAAAACAATAAAATGATTAAGTCGCTTCATACCAAAGGACATCTGTCATTTTTAAAAAGTTGAAAAAAAGCCAATTTTCGAAATATTGCTTCCATTTTAATCTAATGATTTATTTTCACGATTCACCTTGAACATTCTTAAATAAAACTATCAGTAACAGTTTAAGTTGAATCTATAAAACAAAAATTTACTTTTTCACTACTTTCTGAAAATCACAA